TGATGTCCGAGTGTGTACGAGTGATTGCATCAATTCCACTTTACATACATGCTGTGTTTCGCTACATTGGATTATACATTTTATAATCCATTATGTCTGGCTCAACGTGTGGCAGCTGCGAATACATAAACCGAACCGGGGCTTAACCGGCGATGTATTGGTCTGCAACGACATGCCGATGAGCTCGATCCTCCTTGCAAAGCTATTAGAAGCTCGAGCCGAAAATCTATAAGTCAAATGCAGGATTGCCATGCAGACCCAGTTCAAGCACTGAAGCAGTTTTTGCTTTGCTTCGTTCCCTTTTGGGATCGATCTGCTGCATATTCATGATTCCATGGGTGCGGCTCGCTGGACCCCCTTGGAAATCTCAATTACAGGTCGCGCCACGCATTTGGACGGCTCAGTCATCACGGGGATGTCTCCACCATATCCAGTACCAGATCCTGGCCACGAAAGCAATATAAAACAGTTTCACACCTGGCATGTTAAAACCGTCTGCATGCAAGTCGCTGCTTCTCTCCGACCAAAAACTTTTCCAACACCATCGCCATTCCTGGCGAACCAGACGTGGCGATCTCGATCTTGAGCGATGCCGCAGGTCTATGCAGCTCGATCTCCTCTGTGCAACCATTGCTTGCAGGGGCAAAAACTCTGTCGGCAGGTTTTCTTCTGCCTTCCATATACACGTGCCCTGAGCTTGAGCCGAAAAAGCAAATATCGGAGGGATGCACAATGACATGCAATTCAACTCTCCTCTCCTGCACGACCAGCACGTGCATGCGTAAAAATCATGCCCCTAGATCAGTCGATGTTTCGACAAATTATCATATAGGAGATTATAGAAGACCCTCCTGCATGCATTCGTGATCATGCATTGTTTCGAATCATACATGCTGGGACGCTAGGAGCGATCGATCGCTCCTCATGCACGTAAAAATGCATGTATATACTCGGTCGTGAATGATAAATGCATGTGTATTTATATATATATATATGTGCATGATATATGAAATTAACTAAGGAACGTAATCGACCCAGATTAGGGTCGATGAACTTAAGGACTATAAACTCTATGTAGAGTTGATTATCTCGAGGCGCTTTCCTGAATGGACGGACTATTGGGTTCTCTGGGCGGCTATCCAGCAGGCTAAGGTGTCTGCAGCATGCCACCAGCTGGGACGAGCAAGAAGAAACCACTCGGGAGAAGATCTACCTGGCGAGGAGGATACAGAACAACAGGGAGAGCCAGGGGCTGGATACACGCCGGCCTAGAATTTCTGGCCACCCGTTAGCGAAGAAAGGGCTAGCGGCTCGGCTTCCAACGTGTGGCGCGACAAGCCCACCAGAAAGGCAGAGGAGGCTAGGGAAGTCTTCTGTTTTTGTCACCAGTTAGGTACAAACACCTGTTAGGAAGAAGCAGCTGCTGAAAACCGAGTTTTGCACTTCCCTCCACACCCGCCCGGAGGAAGTTCTGAGCACTGACCAGTTCGCCTTACAAGCAGGTTGGTACGAGACCACACCACTCCACTGGTAGTGGCAAAAGAGGCTCACGTTAGTCTGTGCGCTTCCACGGAGCGTAGAACTTGTCCCAGTCTCGTCTATGGGTTGCTTGGGCATCCCTAGGATTCAAGCTGCACTTGGGAGCTCAGCGATACTGACCGGACCCTCGAGCACCAAACCTAAAACCTAACCTCAAGCCCTCTAAACCCCACAAAGCCCCAGAAACCCTAAGGACCCGAAGTATCCCTAAATCCAACATACGCAACCGCACGCTACCAAGGCAAGAATGCTTAGGCGCGACGTTGAAATCTGATCAGATGGTTGCGGTGACCAAATCCGCCAAATCCCTTGTTTCGTAGTAAGACATGACATGCTCCATTTAACGTAGAAGCCTTTGTTTCGAGTGCTTTGAAAAGCCCTCAGATGTGTTGGTTTAGGGTTCAAGCTTCAGTCCTTTCGTAAACCCTTTAAACTATGAAAACAACGGAATTTTGACGAGGTTCGGCTGCATTTAGGTAAGCTTTCCCCACTGAATCTGATATCCCGTTTCCTTTCTTTGCAGCTTGTACCTGGAAGAATTACTGCCAGGTGGAGGAGCAGTCCCGGGCTAGTAACCGCATTTTAGAAGGGATGGCGCCAAGCCTCAAGACAGACTGCTGTAAACCCAAGAACACGGCAATTTCCAAAAGAGCAACTTACCAGAAAATGCCTGAAACAGTCATGCGCAAGGTCTGCATTCGGGGCTGTAAACGACGAATGAGTGTGACCCCACGCCAACGACAATCTCAAGAGAAAAGGGCATGAGTGTGGCAGAGGCTGTTACCCAGCCGCGACGCATTGCGGCCATTTCCCTGGCACAGCGCGCGGAGCCCGGCAATCAAGATGGTTGGACAGCAAACGAACCGCGTTTTTCGTTTCGACTCATGCTCCGCAGCGCCGCCGCCCGAGGTGTCGCATCCCAGTGCCAAGAGGCGGTCGGCGAAACCGTTGGCGGACGGCTCAGCAGAATTCCCAAACCTTCCCTATGGTCTAGGATCGACAACCTAGGTTCATGGTATCGTCATTATAAAATTTATGCGAGCAGCCAAGATTTGGGGCATGTTTCAGCAAGGCAAATCACGGCCCGTCGTTTCCCGTCGATGTTGACCTGTCCAGGCTACCGAGTCGCCATGGATGGAAAGGCGCCTGGGGTGCGTTGCCTTCGCTTCGACTGTCGCTTCGCCTTCCTCCGATTCCTCCGCCACTTCCTATTCAAATTGGCAGCACAAAGCAGTAGGCATGGCCAAACCAGTGCCAAACCGCAGTGCAGCATTTATGTATCTTCTTGGGCGTCGAGGCTGACTCGCGTTTCCTTTGGTTTCTCTCTTTGGTTTGGCCGAACCCATGCGGCTGCCCTTCCGGTCAGTGCGGCAGCACATTCGGTGTCGCGGGAGGTTTCAGAATCGACGCGCCTGTCTTTTGTCACCACAGGCCAGGCTGCAGGGTGGATGTTTTTGTGATGAGCCGTGCAAACAGGGTGGCTGCTAATGTACCTGGCTCATCGCCCGCAGGCGCTCGTTCTCAAGTCATGGTTCTTCAGATCTTGGAGACGGGATTTGCCGCTCCGAGGCGCTGCGCCACTACACGCACATTGTGCTTGACGAGATCCATGAAAGAGATCTGGACATGGACCGTGATTACCCACGACCTGGGTGTTGCCGCTGTCGTCGCCCTGTTTCGAGCACATTTTCGTATCAGGACCTCCTGTGCTTGCTCCTGAAGAGAAGCCTCGAGAAGAATCCATCACTGCCCGCAGCTCGGCGTCGACGAAGAGCGGCACGCAGAGAGGCGCTTGCTCACGTCCTCCGAGTGGATCGAGGCGCTTGGTCCTCATGAGCGCCACTGTGGATGCAACTCAGCCAGGCGCCCGGAGTCCCAGACAGCAACTGTAGCTATGTGCTGCATCTGTCAGAATCGTCGATCTTCGTGCCAGATGGGCTCACGTGTCTGGCCGTTCTGAGTTGCACGAGGTTCCTGGACTTCTTTTCTGGTCAAGGCATGCCTGCATGCCTTGTGAGAGCTGTAGGACTTGTCGAGCATTTCGAATCAGAGAAGCGCAGGTGTTCAGGTGGAGCGAAAACCCATCGTGGTCGGATCGCGGCGCTTTCCCACGTCCCCTGGTCAAAAAAGGTTTTTTTCTGGATTTGTGTGCCGAGCTGGTGGAAGGGTGCCGAACCAATCCGAACAGGGCTGAACATGGGCAAGTCATGCTCAAGATCTTAATGTGCTATTTATTCTGCGCTGCTCAGTTAAAGCCTTTTACCGAGCCTGCACAAACACAGAGAGAGAGAGAGAGAGAGAGATATATATATATATATCTATCTATCTATCTATCTATCTATCTATCTATATACACATACACACACATATATATATATATAGATAGATAGATAGATAGATAGATAGATAGATAGATTTTATATTGTCATGCATGCATGTATGTATGTATGTATGTATGTTTGTTTGTTTGTTTGTTTGTATGCATGCATGCATGCATGGATGGATGGATGGACGGATGGATGGATGTCTGTCTGTCTGTCTGTCTGTCTGTCTGTCTGTCTGCATGCATGCATGCATGCATGCATGCATGCATGCATGCATGTATGTGCGTGTATGTGCGTGTGTGTGTGTGTGCGCGCTTTAAGTGTTTTGTACCAAGCGTTGAGCAAAGGCTTCTTGTACACAGAGTTCTCTTGAATGCAGAAGGCAGAGACTCCATCCAGCAGCCCAGTGGCAGCGAAGCTACTGACAGCTACTGCTGTTTTGGAAAGGATATCGCTGTACTGTTTAATGAGGAGACATAGAGATCTCAAAAGAAGGAGGGTCCGTGTCTGTGTGTGTGTGTGTGGGGATCCTGGCCACAAAATGCGCAAGTTCACAAGCCGCACTGTTTGCATCATTCGCGAGGTCAAGGTCACCGATCCAGCTGCTTCATTTGAAATTGTAGCTGCACCGATGTGAGTCAGCATAAGAAAATCAAGGTCGGATGCTGCAAATTTATATCTGGAAGGTCTGACAGCGAGAGAATCATCTTGCCAAGATGCTGGCACACCAGTGTAGGAGTCAGTTTGCCAAGCCGAGGTACCCGTACTTTTTGGATGACCTGGTGAACGGAGCTCCTGCCCTGGGTTGGCAAAAGCGGTGCTTTGTGGTGCTTTGGGCCAGCCTCGGCTTCAGGCATTGCCTGGCTTCATCCCACGAGTCCGTCTCGACAGGCAAAGGGAGCTCGGCCTCATGTGTGTCCCACGAACGTGCCTGGTGCAGCCCATGGAGGTTTGACAAAATTGGAGGCCGCGTCGAGGCTGATTTGTCTGTTTCCTGTCATTTCATTACGGCCATCAAGTCTGATGAACAAAATTGACGAGATGGGAGAGCATCTAAAATGAGCAACGATGAGTGGGGGGTCACATCTTGCGTGCGGGGCTTGATTGCATGTTAGACCGTGGAATGCAGACGCTTCCTGTCATCCACCTCAGCAAGGCCGCAGGAACTCGGGGGCCCGAACACACACGAACACCTGTAGGGTGCGGGAGAACATTGGAAAGCCTTAGCGCTGTCCAAAGCCTTGCCGATGCTTAGGATCCAATTTGTGTATCTCTGGAGAGTGTCCGTACTACTCGACCCCCCAGCAAGGGAGCACTGAGAGTTCTGGACTTGGGAGGTAAATCCGCAGCTCTTCGAAGCCTGTGTGGGGATCGTCCAGGTCCGGCGTCTCGTGGCTTGGTGACCCCATGCCATCTTCACAGTGCAGGCAGTGGCGAAGCCGGGCCTTTGCGTGCTGATCTTCCTGCCACTTGCAGAAGAGAGCCGAGCGGAGAGCGACGGAGAGCGGCGGAGAGCGGAGTATAGCGGAGTGTGGAAAAAAGGCGCCTTGTGCGGAAGGCTTTGTGTCCTCTAAGCCAGGCCCGGGCTCTCCGAGATCGAGCAACTCCACGAGGCTTTATGCTGGGCCTGGAATTTTGTGTTAAAGGAAGCGGTTCGAATTTCGACTCGCCTCTCCTTGGGCCTCTCTCGCCTCTCGTAGGCCTTCACGGGCTCGACTAGGCGCGACCAATGCCCGTTGGTTGGGACCTTGGCATACCTTGGCCTTTGTTACCTTTCGTGTGCCCGGACACAAAGCGTTCAAGATGTGTGTTGAGTTTGTTTGGGAGTCGCAATCTGCGGCGCACTGCGGAGAGGACTTTCACATGCTGCACTCGGTGGTGCCCCACGAGCAGCAGAAGAAGGCGCTTCTGCCACCACCTGCCCGGAGCCCGGAGCAGACCTCACTCGCAGGCTTTGGGCCGCTTTTAGGGCATCCGAGTCCTCGTGCCTTTTCCAGGCTGGCCACTGCAAAGTCGTACTCTCCACGAACATCGCAGAGTTCCGAGCTCAGCTGCAGCTCATTATCCCGGAGGGCCCAATCACCGATGTGAAGCTTCAGAGGTCATCGATTACCATTCCCGATGCTGACTCCTCAGTCTGACTTGAGACTTGGAAATGCAGGCAAACACTGCTTCCTTGCGCGACATGCGGCAATTCAGAGGTGAGATATGTCTTGGATTTCGGCATCGTGCGGAAGATGGTTTTCGATGAAGAGAGGGCAATGCAGCGACCTGGCGAACTTACCGTGTAAGTATTTTTCGTGTGACACAGCATCAGTCTCAAATGTGAGATGTGAATCAGGAGCCTGTGCAACACCTGGAGTTCGCAGGCGACCTGCCGACAGCGTTCAAAGCCCAGCGTGCTCTTATCAGAACAAGCTTTTCAGGCTATTCAGGCTCAGATGTATCCTGGCCCCACTTTGCCAGAGGCCGAGGGCGTTGCGGCCGGCTGCAGGAAGGGGTCTCGCCCTTGTTGAGGGTGTGAGCACCTGGACATCCTTGGTCGGGGCATTGGCGGGCAACCCTGCCCGAGGTCATCGTTTATCTGTTCCCCCGCAGCCACTACGACCGGCTTCAAGCATATGCCTCGCCAGAGGTGCCAGGAATGCTCAAGTGTCCCGGTACACATGCAGATTTCGATCTTGCCAGGTTTTGGGAGTGCCTTTGGAGTCCATCTACCTCAAGAGCATTTTCCCAAGTCAGAAAACTTCCAGCGGTGCCTCAACAAGACAGCGCAAATGTGAAGCAAGGCCGTGTGCTGCTACATCATCTTGGACCTCCGGAGGAGGGTGGTTTTGCACTTTGCTGCGTGCCCGGTTTCCACCAGACCTGATCAGACCTGCCTTTGCACTCGAAGGACTTGCTTCAGCAGCTGATTGACTCCCCGCCACGGGCCCAGTGCGTAAACCGGTGGTCATGCCAGCACCCGGCTTTGTCAATGGAGATACTGCGCTTTCCAACATTGCATCGGAACGGTAGCGAAAACTCTTGTGCCAGAGACATGTCAATGTCAGGCCACAGCAGCGGATTGCTGCAGCTGCGCAGAACCTGCAGGAGCCAAGTGCAACTCCGTCACACACGGAATGTATTTCAACGAGAGATGACTTGAGCCGGAAACCGCGATGATTGTTTTTCAACATCCCGAAGCCGTGCGGTGGTGCAGGACCTGGGCGCCCTGAAAGCCGATGGTGAGGTGGAGATCAGGTGGAGAGGGTGAGAGCTGCAGCCGTAACTGGATCGGCCTTAGGTCGCATCCTTGGGCCGAATCGCAGTCTTCATGCCAACAACGATCCTGCCTCAGAGCATTTTCACTGACCCACCTCTTCTTGACATGCATTTTTGGTGTAAATACACCTATCAGTGTGCCAACGTCGTCGCAACGAGCCTGCAAGCTATAAGTCGCTAGGACGCGATGAGGCGCTACGACGATATCCGTTCAGTATGGTTTCCTGTGCACGGATTTGGCTCGCCAAAGGCTTGCGGTCCTAATTACCTAATTTAGGCCTTAGGGCTTCTTGCCGTGCACGGTTGTGCGGTGCTGCAGGCCTTGGTGTCTATCTTTTGCTGTGGGCAAGGCATCCAAGGCGTTTGCGTTAAGTGATTCCGGCGCCTGTTTTTTCTTCCCCTGTTTTCCCTCCTGGTTCATGGTCTATCCACCCCTGTAAGAAGGGTAGTGATCGATGCGGTTTGTCAACACATGTTTTCAGCCAGCAGGCTGCACCTCAGTGCAGCGAATTTCACAAACGGACTTTCACAAGGCCAGCTGTGTGACATCGATCCAGCATCGACCAATTCACCATCAAACAACTTGCAGATTTCTGTGCACGTGTGGTTAGTGGTTTTAGGGTGCGGCTCGGGTTTCAGTCGTGTTGTTGTAGCATGGCCCTGCAGGCAGACTCAGACAACCGCAATTCGACGTACGGTCGTAGTAGGATGGCTCAAGCTCGAGCACCTATGAAGGAGCAATGAAGTGTTTGGGGGAAATCAAAGGATTGATGACCGGGTTCGTCTATGAGCCTTGAGTCCCATCTCGCAGAGGTTCGACTGTATGTTCACGTTCCGTGCATAACAATTTGAGGTTTCCAAGTCCCAGGCATTTCTCAATGGTTGCCGACCGTCCTTCACACCACGATGCCTCTCCAAACATCCCTCTTCATCAACATGTTCTGAGCCCAAACCTGCCCAACACAGACAATCACTCCAACAAAGCTTGGTGCACCTGCATGCACCTGCAACAACAGTGATATTCATCGCTGTCACACCGCAGCAGCTGCAGCAATAACAGCCTGTTGCGAACGATTCTGGAGGAAGCGAATGCACTAGCGCAGGCAACCAGTGATACACAACCGTGCGAGCGATACACTGTTCGAAGAGTGTTACGCTGGGTGTGCTTTGTCCCGAATTTGTCTCCAATCAGCACTGCTGACGAAACTCCTTAGTTGTTCGCAAAGAGGTTGGCGAGACCTAGCATTGTCGCTTTCCTTCTTCCACAGGTACCGCTCTAAGAGCAGATCAACAGTTTGCAGGTCGGATAGGCATGAGGCAGTGGAACCTTGTCTGGCGCTATTGCATAGTTTTGCATGCTTGATTCGGTAGTAAAGGCGAGTCAGGAGAGCTGCACCAGCTCGCAGCCAACATAAGATTTCGGGGAAACATGAGCTCGTCGCAGGAAGCCGTTGCAACAGCACAGCAAGGCAAAGGGAAATGCCAAAGAGGGGTGAAGGAAAGGGAACGAACGGAAATTCAGATGTGTCCTTTTCAGAGTAAGTCCGGGGGTTGGGCTTGGGGAATCTGGGGGGTAGAAAATGTTACCGACGCGCAAATATTTCAAACGACAGCGCCCATCCTGCTCGACATTAGCTTGTACTTGAAGTAAATGTACCACTGTTTCATCGGCGGATTTCGGGTTGTCGACTAGGCAACCGCTGCGAGCACACGCATGAAGGACCGACTCTCCGGAGGTGAAAGATCGAGCGCTCAGGATGCATGCAGCAAAAGCACCCTAAAGTCTTGACGGGTGTGGAAGATTTCAAGCAAGGCAACGTTTGCAGCAACCAAAGGCCAAGGCTAGGGCATCTGTTGGTATGTGGCGCGAGCGAGAGCCATCATGAGTCATTCACGACAGCGTTAGTGAGCATCAGGATTGAATCGTGAGAAATCGTTAGCATTGTCATGCAGTGTCCGCCGACTGTCGGTGAATCCTGGAATCTGCAGGATTCGGGGCGTATATAATGAGGTTATGCAAAACGTCTCCGATGCCGTACTTTAGGCTGGAACTGGAACTAGATATCCTTCGTGGTGTCCTAGACTTTGCTTGAAGCCAGAGGAATTTGTCCAGTGGCGACACTTAGTATGACACGTTGCCAGAAAATGCTTCCGAGAAGTTGCAGAACCGTTCTGCATAGCTGTGGCTGTGTGGTAGGAGTCTTTGATGTCGCGAGTTGCCAAGAGCAGTGCTTCGCTATAGGTTCTAGCGGAGTCAAAGTACGAGCCCGTGTTCGCGTACGTGCGCGCGCGATTCCTGGTTCCGTTCCATGAAACCTGAATTTGCTTGAGATGCACGTTCCACAACAGCAACCAAACTACGATTCTCAGAACTTGAACAGAAACCCCAACATTCCTATCAAGCCCTTCAGAACCAATTTGACGCGGACGCCCTGTTTCTCTGTTCATGTTCTTGTGTTTGGGTGGGCGGTTCGTTCGTTCGCGCGGCGGTGCCAAGGATCCAGCTGACCAAGCTCGTGGTTCTTTCTTGGGCTTTGGGAATCCCAGGAGATGGTGTGGTGATAGCTGCTGCGTTGAGCACACAGGCAGCATGGGCGGGAGCTTTTGCAGAATCGGGCTTCCCGGCTTCACATCTGAGAGAACGTCAGGATGTGTTCAAAATGGCAGCTCCAGCCAACTGCCGGAATCTTGAGGACGATAGCGGAGCAATCACTGGTCCCTTAGCCCAAGACCGCTTTCTGAAAGTGGGTCAGGACTTCCCTGCACACCTCGCACACAACTACATCACCCGGGCCCGCTTTGACGACGGACAGTTCTCGGAGCCGATCATGTGCCCATCACTGCAAGCCGACGAATGTACAAATCTCGTAGGGTCCTTCTCATGCAAGTTGCAATGAATGTGGCAGTTTGTCGATACATGCTCAACCGCTTCCTGCTTTCTGGCCGCTCGAAAGGTATAGGAACCTCTACAAGGAGTTCCTTACCGTTTCGAAGACCCAGGCATGTATTTTTTGCCGGTGTGAGTTGTTCCAACCTCGGAGAAGTTCTAAGCGTATGCGAATGTACAAGCTGGGCCTAGCTTGAGGCGAGAGCCTACCACAGCTGGCTGGATCAGAGCTGCGTTTCTGTGAGCCGTGGTCCTGCCAAGTTTGCGATGTCAAGCAGCGCTCGACAAATGTTTCAAAGTGTCTACGGGGCGTGGTGTACGGCAGGTATGAGCCAATTTGCAGCGTTGGTGGTTGAGCTCGCCACCAAGCTGGGTGCCGCTGTGCCCAGTGCCAAGGCTCATGCTCGTGTCGGGGTAGCATCTTAAAGATTCGATGCGACCTGCAGCTATGCCTTTTAAAGGGATCTGCGAAGTTGTGCTGGTCTTGGAAGGCACATCCAGCACTTCAAGCACTCTCCAGGCTCAAGAGGCGACGTGTATTTCTTGCACGCGAGGTGACTACCAAGCGATGCAAATGTCAAATGCATCAAGATAGTCCGAACGAAAACGGAGAGCTTCTGACCGAGCACAGATCCCAGCAGCTGAAGCCGGAGGAGGTTGAGGGTCTCTTCACGAAGGACGTTGGAACACCGTTCAAACTTCCGCTTCATGTCGACGTGTTGACGGTGTGCACGTAAAGCCATCCTTGCTCACTGTATCCGCCTCGGCAACGACAGGTCATGTTGAAATCTTCACACGCTGCTTTTTGCAGCCTGTGTGTCAGGATTATGTGCGCCTGAAATTTGCCCTGGTGGGGGCATTTCAGCCGTCCTTCGTGCAAGGCGCAGATTCAGCAGTTGACTAAACACAAGGACTTCAGGACCCAAGCACAGGCTGCAAGGATGTGAGTGCGCAGCATCTGCGTCCCCCCACAACTCAACTTGATGCTTCTGCACAGGTGAGATCAACACCCAGAACAAGACCCTTGGCTGGTCCTGGCAAGGCACCGGTTTTTGGGCCGGTGACGGCCAGTGCCAGATTTCAGAAACGTCAACTTGCTGATGTGTCCCTTCCAAGACGGCTGCCCCAAAGAACAAGCAGCTGAGGAATAAGGGGAAGATCAATAATTGCGGCTTCGATCCCATGAGGACCGCGGAATGCGAAGTGTGCATGCGCAATGCTTTTGTTCTCGCTTGCGAGCGTCCATAGTAACGGTGGTGCTGAAGCGCAGCCCAGGTCTCTGACGTGCTCATCTTGAACAAACTCTCCGCAAAGCCCGGGCGGAGTTGATAGTAGCAGTCGAAGAATCAGTAGTAGTCGTAGTCGTCGTCATCGTCGTCATGAGCGTTGTTGTTGTTGTTGTTGTTCTTGTTGTTGTTGTTGTCGTCGCGAAAGCCTCTCGGCTCAGGCGAGGTCAGGCGTAGTACAGTTCGCCGTTAGCCTTTTCCTCGCTCGCCATGGCATTCGCCACTGCCTGAGTTAGTTGTCCCGGTCCCAAGTCCGGGAGGGAGCAATCTGAGGTTGCAGAGTTGGAGAGGCTCCCAGAGGTGAGGGTTGTCGGTTTCCGGCAGGAGCTGTGCCCAATATGGGCGTAGCGAAACAGCACAGTAATCTGACCCACGGAAGCCAGCTAGCTCCTGAAGGGCAAGGCAAACGATCATATCAGAAGGCGGTTAGAGTGGCTCAACAGATTGGCAGCGCAACATATAAAAAAACCCTTACATTGGCAGCGCTTGGAGGTACTCCGGCTCAGCCGGAGCAGAACACTCGCTCACACACGAAGTTGAAAGTGGGATACCAAGGGGACAAGGGTATAGAGTATATCTCCTGGAATGCGGGTTCATTGAGGACAGCGGTCTGGGAAAAGTTGCTCTCCTTGCTGCGAACCCCAGCTTACTCCTCGGAAGTAAAGATCTTATCGTCACAGGCAAGAGCAGCACACATACCCTTCCACCGCCACCCAAGGCCAACCCGCCATACGAGCCGCCCCAGGAAAATTCGGCCCCTGTACCATACGTCACCGGAAAATGATGCACCCCCTACCACAGGGAGAATGTGGTACATCAGCTCCAGACTCCAGCACTGCAAAGATTGGATCAAAGCATTGGCTGGTTTCAACGTGGGTTCGCCCGTGGTCATCGGTGGACTTACGAAGTTGGCTGCACTCAGCAAAGTCCCTGTGCTACTTAGGTCCGTCACTAAGGTCCAAACCGAATCGGGCCTATCTTGGGACCGTGCCATGACGGTTCGGCAGGTTCTCACCAAGGATGGACGGGTCATTATAGCCACGGGCCATGATGAGGACTGCATGGAGCTTGAAACACCCACTAAAGTCCGTGGTCTGGTGGGGGCGTTTTTCTCCAAGATGTGGGAACATGACGACATGAAGCGTCGTTTCACTTCCTACAAAACCTTTGGCCTCGTTGCTTCTAACGTCGTCACAGTCTACAACCACGCTTCCATGACGGCAGGGCTCTATTCTAGAATGAGCCGACGCAAATATCCAGACCTGCGGGTAAGTATTGTCCATGATGCCATCTCGAAACGACACGAGAGGGCCAAGCAATGTTGGGCCCAAGAGCAAGCCAACAAACGCCCCTAAGAGGCTGCATCTTCCTCAGACGTCAGGACGGGCTCACACAGAGGGTGTCGGAGGTTGTACATGTCAGCTATTTCTTCAGCAGAGACTTTGTTTCTGAGGTTCAGGTTCACCAACTTGTCAGGGTCAAGTAGGATAGTTATTTGGAGTGCAGAACCAGCCACATCAGTTTCAGTGAGTGTCGGGCAAAGCAGAACGCCCGCAATGCGCAGAGCACGCTCGCGCCGCATTCAATTGAAAAATTGCTGTTACTGTTGTCGTCGTAGCAGTAGTTTCACCCACTCACTCACGCTCGCTGCGGACGGTTCGTTGCAATGCGCTCATCGAGGGGCAGTGATGAACCGGCGCATTCGGTCTTCACGCCCACGCCAGCTGCTCCTCGTAGGGTTTTGAACCGTGGGTTTTCGCCCGAATTTGAATGGAGGGCTGATCCGTTACCGAGGCGGTTCCCAGAAACGCATGATCCCGGATATGGCACTGAAGCGTTCCCCTGCCCTGCCTGCTGCCGCTGTCATTGTCACAGCTGCCAGCACTGCTGCTTCTGCACCTGCCGCTGCAGCGAATCGAGCTGCAGCTGCTTCTGCGGCTGCAGAAGCGCTTGTCGTTGTTGCGCTGGTCGTACCCGCAGGACTTGCCTGTTGCAGCAGCTGGCCCGGCTCGCTTGTATTGCCGCGGCAACTAAGCCACGGTGGGAAGGTCAAGACGTAGGCAGGTGCTCCGACACACCTGGGAACCCTCTCGTGCCAGGATAAAGCCTGCAGAGATGGCCGATGTCAACAACCTTTGGGAGTTCTGGGCTTGGCATCCAACGATCAGCTTCCTGCTGAAGCTTCGTGCCCGCTTTCTTGCTCAATCTCAGGGCATTGCTGCAAGCTGCCAGCTTGGACGAACTGAATGAACCAAGGTTCTGCCACAGCTTGGCCCCTACAAAGGATGTGAGTCTGAATGACACCGGCAAGGCCAGAGGAAAGTTCGGTCATGCCGCGCTGAGTCATATAAGCACGTGCAAGGTGTGTTTTGCTCACTTCGTCAGCCTGCAAAGTAGTTCGATGTAGAGTAGTTAGTCATGGTTGTTTAAGTTCTGTGAAGCGATGCTGCAACTTTTCAAGCTCTAGGTCAGCTGAGAGAGAACATTGCGAACATTTGGCGCGCACCTACAATTTCGTGTTGACAGCCTCAATCTTGCTCTGAGTAGCCCAACGAAACACCATGAAATGCCTTGAATTCCATCCGAAGCACGGCTGGTATTCAAAACCAAGCTTACATTGCATGCTTTGTCCGTGTATTCGTCCGTTTGCCCGGTGCAGATCCGGTGATCCTTGCTGCATGTCCGGCTTTCCATATCTTCTAGGAATTTCTGGAGAGAACAACATGCAGTGTACGGCTGAAAGGAATTTGTATTGACACGGAACCGGTGTGGTAGCCTAGCTGGCCCTGCCGGAAAGCACTGCTGCTGTCACAAATTGGAAGTCAGGAGGGTGATTCCCATGTTTGCTGTTTCTCATCGTTTGAATTCATCGAGCGGGTGGGTACGCGCATGCCTGAATCTTCTGCCAACCGGGGATGCACTAAGTCGCTAGTGGGCCTTTCTTGAGATTGCCTTCATCGAATGCGGCGATGACCGGGAAATTCATGTTCCACAAAGTGATGTGGCGGTTGCCTCAGCAATTAATTAACAGTTTGGCACACCTGCCTGCGAGAGGGCTCCGAAGTCTTGTGGGTTTCGTTTTGCATCTGCAAGCCGCAGTTGCAGGGCAGCACGGAGGAAAGCCATCAGCTCGTTGATGCCTGAGGTGCATCAAATGCCGCTGGTCGCACAGCTGTTGCATCAGCCGCTTGTCAATTCGTAGGCCCCACCCTCCTAGAACGCAATGCCATTGCGTTATCGGGGCGCTCTGCGCAGTGATGCCGGATTTGTTAGGCGGTCGGAAGTTTTTCTTTACGGTGCGTTTATCTGAGACGCCGTCTCCAGGTTGATGCGGCAGCCCTGCAAGTTCAAGGCCGGCTCTTCACATGGCCACAGATGGCCACAGATGGCCACAGATCACGGGATTCCGATCCGGGGAGCTTCCAGGTGCTGTCTGACCAAGGCATCTGGCTCGCCGCCCAAGCTTTCCATCCCTGTGCAGCTGCAATGGAGAGATGACGAAGAAACACGAAATCCTTGATCCGAGCTCAGGCACGAAGCTTCGAAGATTGGTTCTCCAAACTTCCTTAACGGTGCCTCAGGGAAGGTGATAGATGGGTCATCACAGATAGAGCGACGTTGTTCCGCGACTTGGGCATTTCGTGTGAAAGGCATGAAGTGGCATGTCAACGGAATGCGGACAATGGGCTCTCCGTACTGGCGCTCGAACATGGGCAGCGAGCCCATCTTTCCATTGCGTGTGAGACTGCTTCGAGTCGGCACTAGGATGCCCCTTCTTGCCAACTCTTGTCACTTGTTGCTGTTCCTCATCATCAGCTGCAGAGCCGTTTCACGGTATCCGAATTAGAAGGTGCAGACCAAGTCAGGTTATATGTGCGAGATGCGCACCAACCTCAAGTGTCACTGGGGCGCCGGGGCCCTAAATACCTCCGGCATACAAAGTATCTTCTGCGAACACTAAAATAAAAGGCTTGATTGTGCGGCTCAGATTACATCGAAAGTGTTGATGTTCTGTTGGTGGGAGAACATTGCCTCCACTCCAGGTTTGCTCGTCCTTGCTCGGAAGAGAAGGTCCTGATCAGGCTGGCCTGAGCTGTGGCTTGCGCATTCAAGAGAAGGGAAGATGCAGCCTGACTCAGATTTCTGAGTCTTGTGTGGGTGTCAAGTGCAAGACACAGGTGCGAATCACAGGGCTTACGATCTTGCCGCCCCCGGGCACGATGACTGGAGCTCGGAGTATCGTTCAGAAGCCAACATGCAGCCAAATCCTAGGCCTTTGGCCGTCGGGGCCAGGTGACTTCGGAAGGAATTGCATGTGGTTTTGCTGCCATAGCTGTTTTGGGTCAAGTGGCTTTGCTTCCAGATGTATTTCGGATTGTGTAACGTCATGTTTGTATTATCAGTCCGGCCTACTTTTGACGCAGTCGAAAGTAAGTTTAGGACACGGGCATAGAGAACTAGAGGACGTACAATCCTTGGTGGGCTTGGGGGGGCCATTTGTGCGCCGGGCGAAGCATCGTCAGGCTCCCTGCCCCTAAGACAAGGATCTCTGCACACCAATACACAACCGGATAGAAGCATCGCTGCAAGTGCTGCGATGCCTCGGCCCCCCTCGGCCGGAATCTTGGATGTTGGCTTAGCATCTGCCGTACATCGTGGTGAGGCAGGCATGCGTAAGAATGAGTTCACAAATTTCCGGTGGGCTGAATGCATCGTTGTTGCAGGGACTTTTCAACAACAGTCTTGACAAAGCTACGATCCTCTGAGGCGATACGGCCGAGGAGAGTGTTGAATACACCACGTAGGAGTTCCAAGTAAACTTATAGTTATTATCTGCGCATGAAGTTCAACGGTTATGGCCAGAAGGAACACGCATTGTGGCACGCATGATCCAGTCAGGTTACCATGATTACCAGAAAACATTGATGATTAAATTGGAGTTTTCGGAGAATGTTGAGAACGACATGTACCCTTCCCTGAACGTTTAGTGCGTTCTTTAGCAGCTCGTTCTTCTCCCCGAACCTGGGTATCAAGGCTGTCCATAACACCCATGCAGAGATAAGGTATGGGGTGTCGATGTTTGAGCTGGAACTGGCTGGCACTGGTTCGCAGGTGCATGAGTCAGCAGCCAAAAGATCCGCAAAACCAGTTGCTCTTGCAGAAAGTCAAGAAGGTTTTGACACACCTTTGTGAAGACTCTGCCTCATGGGCCCTCCTGCTTCTGCCTCTGTAACAGTGCTCCCAGGACCCATAGTACGACGCAAGACACGTTAACCCATCGCTTCCCTACCTGTGCTTGCCATGGAGTCTGCGCGACTCACCCAGCTTCGCGAGCGTGCAGCAGCGCTTCGCGACGAGCTCAAGGCCAACGTAGCTCTTGCACTAACGGTGTTTGCAGTCACTTCATGGGGAGGGATTTGTGTAGTGCACATTGAATTTGTGTCGAGGAGAGATTGTGATGCTTCCCTTGTAGTTTGTAGTGGCAAGTGGCTAAGCGGGCTTGAACAATAATCCCAAAGAGTGACGCATGCTGCAACAGGTCGAAGTGGGGGGGGGGGGGGGGGGCCCCAATGGGGGCCGAATGGGCTCGGA